TCACTGATGGAGGATTTATAAAGATTTCTGGTGGGAATTCTTTATGGAAGATGTAGTCTTTTATCCAGTGGGATTTACAAATGGAGGAGGGAGGAGGGGAAGTTAGGAGAGGAAGCCCTGATAAAGACACACAAACATTGTCACGGCATGTTAAAACATAAATGGCTGCTTTTATTTTATGGATGTTCCCTTTTTATTTCTCCTTCACACTGCGGAGAGGTGGTGAGAGTGTTTTTTGTGTCCTTGCATTATCAGGCCCAGCTAACATAATGTCATACGGGTGGTGGAAAACTACAAGCAAATTCTGGTTGTCAAATTCCCTCCTAAAAGTAGCACCAAAGGAGTACTCAATGTTCAGTTGTCTGTCAGGTCATGAGTTATTTTTTCACCTACAGGAAACAGAACTGTACAGTTTATCTTGGGCTGGTTTTATGTGCTGCAATCCAGCATCTATCCATCCATTGCCCTTCTTTCTTTAAGGTCACTGCAAAGACAAGAACCCAAAACCAAACCAACAAACCCACTTTCTTATTATTTCTGCCTCTGCCCCAGTGCCAACGATTTTCTGGTTTTCTCTGCACAGGCTTTTGTAGAAGATATATACCATTAATGGTGACACTGGTGTCAGTAATAGAACGTGAGCAGCAGCAATGCCTGTGTTCTATTCCCAATGTGTAGATAACTTCATAAAGAAAAAAAGGTGGGTGGAGGGGAGGGGAGATCTGGATAATTTTTCTTGTCATTTTATTCACCATTGAAAAGGTCACTCCCTGTAAGAAGAGACAGTCTTCCCTCCGAGATGTCTGGGGGAGGAGCACAAATGGCAGAGCCAAAATGGGGGGGGACTCCTTGACACTGTGTGGCTTTTGTGAGGTGGCAGAGCAGCCCTTCTGAGCACAAGAGTGTGCAACACCCAGAGTATGCATGCTGGTGGCTGATAAAAACAGAAAGGGACCATCCTTTGCTCCCGCCGCGGGCTGATAGCATTCACATCATACACCGTTTGTTACTAGGCAACTGATTAAATATACGTGCCGGTCCTTCAAGCAGTGCTTGCAATTAATTAACCAAACCATTTTCATTTTGACTGACTTCCGCCCTCCCCTCCCCACCACCAAACACCTTCCCAAATGCTGACAGCTCACAAAAGTGCTAGTGATTTGATGCTCCTCCTGACCTGTGGTGCAACAAGATAAAGAATGGACCTCTTTGCACAGTGGATGTGGTCTACACCCAGCCAGTTAGACACCTCTGAGCATCCCTGTTGGGTCTAGATAGCAGCTGGCGCACACAACAGACATTTTGCTTTGCCTTTCCAGGGCCAATGTAAACTGAACTATGAAAACCACAGGGCAAAGTTCAAAAGAAGTTCTCCTGGCAAATCTATTTGAAGTGCAGTTATACTGAAGGATGGAGTATGGGTCTTCTTTCTTGGTTTTAAAACCAGGATTTCTCACCCCTGAAGTACTCATTCTAAATTTAAAACCAGTATGGAGCACGTTTGTGTGGGTACAGATATAGATACATATACATTGTGATAAACATAAACATTTATATAGCTACTAACATGTATGTGAGAGGTGTTAATGTTCAGGTATCACCAACTCTAAGTGCACACTGCTTTGTGCTAGCTGTTACGCTGGGAACTCAAACCAGGCAGTCGGTGCTCTGCTCAGCTCACAGTCTAAATAGCAATGACAGGCAAGTAGAAGAAGGGATCTAGACATCAAAGGTTGTTCAAGGTCATGCAGGGGTCAGGAGCAGGGCTGGGAATAAAAAATGGCTTTTGTTTTGATATCAGATTTTATAATAAAAAAACCTGTGAGTCATCTCACCCCAAATCCTCCCTCTAATTTTGTAATACAGTTGTCATATTAAACTTGTATGAAATAGACTGGAATTACACATGGAAAATGGGTAACTACAAGGATCCTGGAAGATCTGACTGTTCCTATTACACTTGATCAAATGCAACTGTCAGCTGCTTTGGCAGAGATCACCTTTGATGATTAAAAAGAGAGGACTACATTACAAGAGGGTTTGAGCATGAAACCACTCGCTGCAATCCACAATTAAACAGGAGAGGCTATTGTTCTGTTTCTGACTGGGAACAGAGTTACAAATTTATTGGAGTTCACAGGCTTGCTGCAGAGCTTGTCTTTAACAAAATTGTAGCCCCATTCTGTATCAGAGCTTCCTACCCTGCTCAAAACCTCGAGTGCATTAAAGAAGCAATTTAGGCTTTATTTGAAGGGGGAAAAATAGAATGTCGAGTTGGGTTTCTTTCTTCCTTGCTCCCACTGTCTTTCTGCTGGGGAGGGAGGGATTTGAATCAGCAGATTCTCAATGGCACTGTTGCCTATTGGAGCTGGTATAGAATCACTAGAAATGGGTAAGAAGCAAATAATGAAGCACTGACGGACTGACAATTTGAGTGTTTTTTTAACACACTGGCCAGCAGCTGATTTGGTGTGAACCATCTGTGGAGCCACAATGCTTTACGTTGCCTGTGCCTTTGAGTCAGAACTGGAATGGTGCCTCTGAAAAAAGTGCTCTTTGGGCTTGTGACTCTTGAACGAGCTGAGGCCATTTTCCAGTCCTAATGGGACTAGGTTACCTTGGTCTGCTTTGGTTTGACTCTGGCCTGTCATATTTTGGCCCATACTCTTGTCTGAATAAAGAAGGGCTTGTGGCTTTTTACCAGCCTTGCACGAGCTGGGCAAGTCTGAAGCATGGCAAAAGCAGCCCCCAGCTGCCATCCTGCCCGACACATGTGCTCACAGCCTCTGGTGATGACAACCATGCTGCAAAGAAGAATTCACAAGCTGCCTCTTATGAGACACCAGATTAAATCCCTCTTCTCCAAAGGTGCCTGTCTGCTTTCAGCAGTCCCATTAGAGCCATGCACTCCTCCTCTTTAACTTTCACTGTGGCTTTGCTGACCTTTGAATGAGAAAAACATTAGTAAAGAGCAATTTTATGCCCTCATAAAGAGTTATGTGTTACTAGGCAGTAATGGAAGCACAAAACAATCCAGCTAAAAGATTTCAGCCTCCTGTTGCTGCTTTCTTTGATAGTGCTGCTACATCATTAAGCTACTTTGTGCTTGTCGAGGACTGGAAATCCCACCCAGCAGATATGAAGATTGTTCCCAGTGCCAGTACAGGCACTGCTCCTCAGCCCTCCCAATCTGCAGGGTGGAGGGAGAAAGTCAAGGAACACCTGTATTTCTTGCAGGTTTCTGCATGCTGCTCCTTTCCTCTTATCCCTGTAATGATTTATATTTAATTGACTTGTAATTATACCCACTTTTCTTTTTTTTCCCCTTGTAGTTCATATCGGTTGTTCCATACCCATATATGGTCTGTCACTAGCCTAGCCTCGATTTTCTTTCCACCACAATAAGGCAATAAATCCAATGGGGCTGGACAGGAAACCCAGCTTGCCAAGGAGAGACAGGATGAATATCTCCTCGAGACAGTCAGAGGTTTGAGTGCATGTTGTCCATACAGTGTATTTCAAGGAGTGCCCAGGGCAACCCTGGAAAAACTTTTATGTCTGCACAGTATTTTTTTTTCCAGAAAAAACAGATTTATAAAAAAGCCCACTGTGTATTTTTTGCTCTTTTTATGTGTGTGGAATCCATGATATATAGAAGATGACTCGTTTCAAAATTCCAGCTAGGGTCTCTTTTTTAGAGGCAGAAGATAATCACACAGAAATGCCTCCTTTAGAAAATGTGTGTTTGCTGTCACTGCTCTCTTCAGCTGACTCAACATGGATGTATGTTTATTTCTCAAGTTGGAGATGACTTCTATGATCTTACTGTTCCAAACACCTTCATTAAAAACACTGAGCAAGTTTTATGAATACTTTTCTGGGCTTTCAAGCATGTCTAGGCTCATTCATGTTTCTGCTTCACTGCAAACACTGGTGAACATGCTGATCACACATTCCACCCAGCTGCTCTTTCCTGTAAATGCAGCAGAGAGACTGGGATATTGTATCAAAACTCAGTTTAACTCAATAAAATGGTGATAGATGGCACAGTAATGGCACAGTAATGACACAGTGACTACTCTGCATGGTGTGTATGAAAATGCGCATTCCAGATCCATTATTAAGAGATAATTTCTGTAAGACTCTTGTGCTATTTGCAGTTTAGGAAATCTACACCAGGCCTTGGAAAAATATTACTTGCAGTAAGAACATGATGCTGCTCGGGCACATCACTACCTTACTCTGCATGCGATGACACTGGATTGCATCTTGGCACACTGATGCAAAATCCCCATGCTTGAGAATGTACTTTGTGTTTCATACATTAAGGAGAGGTTACTTTTATTGCTGCTAGTGTAAGTGCAAGGAAAATACTAAGAAGCAGAATCCTTAAAGCCCTATTATAGCTGGCTAATCATTATGTCTCTCAAATTAAGCCATTTACTGACACAGGGGCTGGTTTGTGAATTTTAGGAAAGAACTGGGTTTTTAGTTGTCAGTACATGGGCAAATTCCCAGATATACACAAGCCTGGGAGTACAGCATCACTTAACTGTGATCTCTTGCTTGCACACACATGCAGCCATGCTCCTTAAGGGTTTGCCAATGAAATGTAGTGCTCCATTATACAAGCAAGTTCTACAAGAATTAGCTTGGGGATTGGAACTAGCCTAACAGCAGTGGCAGGATACATTAGCTTGCATGCCTGAGTTAGCCTATCTGGCTACCACTGTGATCAGATAGCTTCTGATACTGAAGATAAGTCATAAGAGCCATTTTGTGTCTTTCAACATGACGCAGCAGACTGCAGCCCACTCCTCCTGCAGCCCCCACCCAGCACAGTGCACTTTGCACACAGGCTATACTACTTCGTACTCAAAATCTGGATTCTTCATGGAATGAACTGGCCCAGCTTTACAGTGGAAGTTAGTGGCATAGCTACATTGATTTACATTGACAGACTCCCGGCCAAGATGTTTTGGTCTGTCATTTGTACTTACCATGCTCTACCAATCTGGGGGCTAGTCATACCCTTATTCCTTTTAATGGTGATTCTGCTGCAGTCGTCTTTTTTTGCTTGTTGCAGTTAAGGCCAGGAGGCACTATTATGGTCTTCTAGCATGGTCTTGCAATGATTTTAGCTTTAGGGGATAATTTTTAATAGGACTGGAGAAGCAGCAGCAGCTTCTTTCCACCGCCAGCCATCAAAGCTCAACCCCTCATTCTGCTGTGTTTCAACCTGCAGAGTGTTATGCTAATTTTGCTTGCAGCTTCAAGTCAGCTGAATTTCCGGTTGGCTTCAACTTAAGCTGTTTTTATTTCAAATAAGGTAAATTACCACTTTAGTCCAGGGCTCAGTTTCCAAGCTTCCGTTCTGCCAGTTTTCGGGCTTCACTTCCAGCAGCTCTGCTTAATCCCTGCAGAAGGCATGTCCTCCGCTCCTCCTGTGCCAGGGACACGCTGCTCCGCTTGGCTGCTCCCAGGGCTGGAATCCTCCTCTTTCTCCTCCCTCTCCTCTTTGGACTTTTGGTCTGAAATCAACAGAAGTTATTTTTCACCTTTATAGAAGAGACTTCTGCTAACAGCAGCTTGCCAATCCCTAGACCCTCCTCCCTTTTTCTCTCCAGACTTTGCACAATAGCTTACTGAAGAAATAGAAAGCATGCCTGTGACAGTTGTCTTCATTAATGGCTAACCACAATTATGCAGTACACCTGATGGTGCTGAAAGCTCCCTAGGAGACCAATGGTCCCCAGCTTGCCTTTGGTGAGGCTTAGGGGGTTTGTGAAAAATTTAGTAGTAAGAAGGCTGTGATGGCGTGGAGACATGGGGAGAAAGTAAAACCAGAAGCATTTGTGCAGGCAAGCATCAATTTGCCATGGGACCCAGCTGCATACTCAGTCTCCTCTAGCTATGGAGAGATAGGGGAGGTCAACAGCTCTCAGATCTCCTGCCACCACAGCTCACTGCAGTACACTGCCTGTGTGTGCGTCAGCAACCACGCACTTTCAAATAAATTGGAGATGTGAGCCATCTCTGCTATCATGCCTGAAAAACCCGAGACAGTCTCTCCCTGAAGGCATTACATCAAAATTAATAATCAAGACAGGTGAAGGAAGGGAAGACACAATAAAGCACAGAATGGTGGGGTGACTTAATTGTGGTCACATAGGAGATCAAACCTGAGACATTAGTCTCCTTGATCCCACTAAGTGCCATGGTGCTGTGGAGCAGGTTAGCATATGCTCCAGCTTCAAAACCTTCAGGAAGCCAAATATGAACTAAGAAATACCTACCTTCAAGAAAACTGCATGAGCATAAAGGGATAGCATTTCTTTGCTTGCCTTGTGGAAAGCTGACATTTTCTGTGCTGTGCATTGGCATTTCCTGTGATGTTGCCACAGGCACAGGACTCAGATTGCTCAGGAGCACATTAAATATTGCTTCATTGATGTAACTTTGGTCATAAATCTGTTCTATGCATGTGGGATAGACAGGCAAAACGTCGTCTGACACAGATCATTAGAATCAGCAAAATATTACTGAGGTGCTTTTCAGAAACCTCTGTTCAATACAGGTAACCCAACCCTCATTTCTCTATGATTTATTCAAAAGTACACATTTTGGTGTTGTTTTACTCCCCTTTTATGAGACTTACATTTGGCTTGGTTCGCCTTTTGCATGTGCAGCTGTTTCATTTAGGAAAATCGGATAACTGCTACTGTGGTGGGTTGACCCTGTCCAGCAGCCAGACTCCCACACAGCTGCCTACTCACCCTTGCCCCCACAGCAGGATGGGGGAGAGAAGAGGAAAAACAAAAACCAGAAAACTTGTTTAACTGGTGAAGGGAAGAGGAAAGGAAAACCACAAGCAATCAATCACTATATCCTACAAACAGAACAGCCAGTCTCCAAGCACTGGTTGCTGCCTTGGAAGCCAAAAAAATCCTTCTTTCTCTACCCCTGTTTTCATTGCTGAGGATAACATTATATGGCACACAATATCTCCGTGGCCAATTTAGGTCAGCTGTCATGGCTGTGTTCCCTCCCAGTCTCTTGTTTACCTCTTACCTATTTGCTGCAGAAAGTGGGGATAGAGTGAGGAAAAGAGGAAGCTTTGATGCTGTGCATGCACTCTTTAGCAATAAACAAAACACTGGTGTGTTACCAGCCCTGTTTTAGACATAAGTCCAAAGCACAGCACCATACAGGCTGCTATGGAAGAAGTTAGCTCCATCCCAGCCAGAACCAGTTCTGGTATTGTGTTTAAGGTACTTCAGAAAAGGCTATAAGTGTCTCTGAATCAACAGAGAGGATTATAGAGATAACTTAGAATTGATACGCACCTCCAGAGGATGATCCCTCGGATGTGCTTTTGGCTCTCTCCTTTCACTGGAGAGGCATTTCAATACCTAGCATTTAGATAGCTGAAGTGAACTGGGATGACCTTCATTCTTCAGTGATCAATCCTGAGTCTTTCTTCTGCTCTCTCTGTATTGGTTGTTATGCTACAGCTATCAGTGTAGTTGTCATGAGTCCCATAACAGGTTTGATATAGCTTATCATATAACCTTTACATACAGTAAACAAAGTAATTTTAAATCTTAATTTTTCATCATTTTCCTCAGCACTGAGTCCCAGAGGTTAGTGACATGTATTTTGTCCTTGTAGAGCATACTTCTACTGGCTAAGCCTCAATGCTTCCTGGTCGTGAATCCTACCTTCTCAGATGTAGAGCGAAGCTTCTCTGCCTGCTGTTAAAATGACCAAAAGCCTGAGACTGAGCAAAAGCTATAACCTCTGATAACTGTCAGCCCAAAATAAATATTGATTTTAAGTGTCAATTTTTAGTAAAGATAGATGTCAAAGCCCAACAAAACCAATTATAGTGCAATAAAATGTATTTCATAACTCTAGTTTAAAGGTATGCCAAAATTTTTATAGTGTAACATGGAAAGACAGAGAATCTACCTGGCCTTACAGGTACAATATATCTAGAGAGATATTTATGAAGTTTATCTGATATATATCGTATCAGTGTAGCCAAGTGTATTGTATTTCTGCCATAGTTTACTTCACTTTTCACTTTCCTCACCATTTTTAATGAACTTTTAGTGCCACTTTCTTCAGCCTGGCTGTCCCTATACATGTGTGTGTGCCTTTCTGCCTTCACTGTGGTCAGTAATCTTTGAACTAGTTGGTCATTTCTAACTTTTTTGGGAGCAAAAATGTCTCATATATGCTAACTTCCCAGAAGTTTAATCAAATCAGGCAGCTGTTAGTGGTCTGCTGACAAGAAACACTGTGTTATGAGCTCATCTCTTCTAGATAACAGCGAATCCACATGAAAAGAGTTGTCTGCTGCCTTTGTCTTGGGAAAGACTTTGCCAGAGCCTACACCTTTCCAGCCCCCAGAGAACATGAACATGAGGGGAAGAGCCAAAAGAAACCCAAAATTGCTGGGTCCTTTGGCAGCCTATTTCCTTGTTTCTCCTTTGTGCAAGGTGGGCTGAACATGAATACAGTGGCCAAGGCAAAAAAAAAAAAAAGATTGTGCTGTGTGCTAGTACGATATCACAGGATTATACTCCTTTATTGTTTTTGGTTTTTTAACTTTTTCATAAAGACTGATTTCGTTCTCAATCACCACTGCATGGTCAGCAGTCAGTTTCCTTGAGTTGTCTGTACTGGTGCCTGATGTGTTTTGGGATGTTTAAAAGAAATTCAAAACCTACCCATGTGCATAAGTAGTTTGTATTTTTCTCTACACACCATTCTTCTCTTGTGTGTGTTACTTTCATGTACTATGTCAGTTTTCTTAATTTTTTCATTCTCTGCAATTTCTCATGCTTTTCTATTTGACCCACCTACCTAATTTTGCATGACACAAACTCCATCACTTTTGCTCTTCACCAACATCCCAAGCACATCTTATTTTTATTCCGTGGGGCATCCTACCTGTAACCCCTTTCCATGCTGAGATCGACCATTTGTTCCTCCTCTTTGTTTCTGCTCTCTCAACTGTGGGCTTTCCCCTAATCCCTGCAGGAGTTTACCTCTCACCTTGTGGTTACTAAGTTTCCTTTACAGCCTCTTCTCAGGAACCTTATCAAAACCCTTTGAAAGTCTAAACAAAATATAGTCATTGGTTGTCCTTTATCCCCTGTTTTAACTCTTTCAAAGGCCTTCAACAGGTCTGAGGTTTCTTCCAACACAGATCGTGCTGGTTTGTCCCTATTGTATCACCCTCATCTACCGCTCCTGCTTTGTAACAATCTTTAATGACATCCCTGTATCAGGAGTGTGTTGCTTAAGAGCAGAAAGCAGAGGGAGATACTTGTCTGTGGACACTTTCTCTAACAGCATTCTAGCTGGTTGGTTTATGTAGCCTTTAAGCCCTGAGGTAAGGAAACAGGAAAACAGATTAATAGACATGGCAATCTCCCCCAAGATACTTTTAGATAAACACAGCCTTGGGCATTTAGAAAGCTGGATTTATTACACCTTAAAAGAGGTTTCTGAAAACCACGGCTGTTTTTGTTTTAAAGTATGCAGCCAAAGGCATACACTTCTTTAATCTTTGCCACTCTTTTGTGATAGACAACCAAAAAGCACAGGTCCCAGGGTTTAGAAACAGTTGTGTATAAACTGGAAACAATCTCAGCAAGCCTTTATAACAACAAAGATCTCTTTGGGGGCACTGAAGTGGATTTGAACTTAAGCCAAAACACATTTCCAGTGCACAAGCTGTACAGAAACACACAAATGCACAACTGATATTGGTAGGGTAATATAATTGCTAACATTTTCCTGGAAAAATGAGAATGCAGACAGTGATGTTTGAAGGTAGGTGGGGTTTTATGCTCAAAATAGCACTGAAGAGAAGTGTTTGGCTTGCGCTGGAGGTCTGGGATCCCAGCTGCGACCCCTGTTGCCTGCAAAGTGGCATTACCTGTTCTCGTCACTAGCTGGCTTTATCCCAAGGTCCCAATACCTGCTCTGTGATGTTGGTGAGTGTACTGCACAAGCCCAGCTCAGATTACTCAGTGATAAGCACTTACTTTAGAGGGCCTTTCGACTTTTTCATTCATTTTCCGTGAGCTAAAAATCTTTGAAAGGGTGGCTTTGCCATTCAGTGTTCATCTCTTTCTTTACCTCCACAAAGGCAGGAAGCATGTATTTGTTGATTTGCTTCTGACATGGGAAAGAGAAACCCATATGCTTAGCCACTTTCACCTTGTAATTTTAATTTGTCCCTGAGTGGTCCCACTGACTCCCTCTGCTCCATTCCCAGCAAACTGGAAAGTACTGTAATCTGAATCTCTGACTCCTCAAAATGCTTCTTTCTCTTACAGTTTGTGGCCTATAGTGGTTTTTTATATATTGACGCACTAATGTAAGAAATGTAAGGAGATCACTTTGTTACTTGGGAAAAGAAGAAGAACTAAGCTCAGCTTTCAGTATTGCCATGTTGATTTGGTTTGGGGGTTTCTTTTTGACCTTTTTATTTTGTTGTGTTTTGTTGTTGTTTGCTTGTCTGGTTTTTAATATTATAATATTCTTGAGAACGGTCTCAGTTCTGAAAGGAATTGCTAGTCCCCCTGGAGATGC